ATATATATATATATATATATATACAACAAATTGTCGGTTAGTCACAAATGAGGGGTCGAAATTTTTAAACTAAATCTCATCATTGAGATTTCCATGTTGACCGATTACCTATAAGACTGACACTGTTTGGCGTGACAAACTACACAACTAAATATAAATATTTGGGTTTCCCCGTGAGCTCGGTATAACTTCTAACACCAACGACACACACAATTTTAAAACAACGCTAATAGTATCTGGGCTGCGGGAAAAAACATCGAAAAATATTGTCTCGACAAACAAGTGAACGCGAGCGGCGGGGTGTACGTACGAGGGCGCTGGCGTAGGCGCTGCGCAGGTTGGCCGCCGTGTGCTGGAAGCTCTTCCACATCAGATTCACCAAAGCCTTCTTCTGCAACAACAAGAACAACGATGAAACGCGTGAACGAACGTCGGAAAAACACCTAGACTCTGTCACGGGAACGAAAGTCAGAAAAAAATCAAGATGAAGACACGTGAATAAAAGCCAGAAAAAAATCAAGATGAAGGCGCGGGAACAGAAGCCAGAAAAAAATCAAGAAATGAAAGTCAGAAAAAAATCAGGATGAAGACACGTGAATAAATGTTGAAAAACATCGCAACTCAGAAACAACCACTGAAACCAATGCTGCGCTAAAGGTTGACACAAATGGTAGCAAAAATAACAGAGAAGAAAGAGAGGAAAGAAAGAGAAAGACACAAACAGACCGAGAGGAATAGTGGGAGAGGGAGAAGAATGAGGACAAAGAAGAGCAGGAAGAGGAGGAGGAGGAGGAGGAGGAGGAGGAGGAAGAGAAGGAGGAGGAGGAGGAGGATGAGGAGGAGGAGGAGGAGAATGAAGAGGAGGAAGAGGAGAGAAAGGGAAACGAAGAGGAGAGAAGGACAAAGAGGAGAAAAAGAAGGAAAAGAGAAACGATGACGGGAGAAGAAGAGGGAGGAGGAAGAGGAGGAGGAAGAGGAAGCCATCTCCTTCTCCCTCTCGCTCGTGCTCACCTCCCCGCTCGGAAGCTGCACATCCATCGCCGCCTGCAGCTTCTCGATCATCTCTGAGCTTAGATAGCCATCCTTCAGCAGCTGGTAACCAGGCAGAGAGGGTCTGATGCCCAGGGTACCGCACAGCAGCAGCGGCGTCGAGCTCGACCCGGCAAAGCTGACCAGGCCGTTGGCCGCCGACGCCACCTGTTGGCGAACGGAGGAGTTATAAACGAGCAATCTTTCGATATCTTTCACTAATGTTGTTCGGGTAGATATCGTAGCTATGCAGTGAATTTTATAAGTATTATGTGGTGAATATTAGCATTTTTGTAATATGCCAAACCCTATATATATATATATTGTCACCCGGAGCATTAGTCTTAGCATATTGTATAATTGTGTGGCTACAGAAACCCAAGGATTAGCGAGTTTTCTGTCCTAAAAAGCATTCAGGGAACTACCACCGCTGCAAACAGCATTCTCTCAGCTCCCCCATTCCTCATCCCCATCCTCCGCAGCATCTCCGACCGCTGCCCCATTCCTCATCCCCATCCTCCGCAGCATCCCCGGATGCTGCGCACTCCTCATCCCCATCCCCATCCTCCGCAGCATCCCCGGATGCTGCGCACTCCTCATCCTCATCCCTCGCTAACCTGCAGCGCCTGTATGTTCGGCAGCTTCATGCGCATCGCGTCCAGGTGAACGTTGCCGACGCAGAAGGGGGCGCCACCGCCGCGGCACTTCAGCCGCGCGTAGAGGGCAGCACTGGTCGACGGTTCGCAGACGACAGCGCGCGCGGCCTCCCGTTCCTCGCCGGCGAGTCCGCTCCGCTCCAGCCCCTGCGGTGAGCACGGGCGAACCCTAAACATTAGCACGCGCCCTCTCTCTCTCGTGTCCTCTCTCTTTCTTTCTCTCTCTCTCTCTCTCTCTTGCGCCACGCCGTCCCGGAATATATACGTGAAAACTATGGATCTACTATAACTAATCATCAACTGCTAATTAATTTAATATGCTAATTAGCTACTAATTATGAATTTCAGTCGGAATTTGCACGAGCGCGCACGACCACCGGAAAGCGCCGCCCCTGATCTAGGACGCAGCGCCCCCTGACGGCTTCGCCGCTGTCGGTCGAGCACGCAACGCCCCCTGGTGGCCCCTCTCTGCCTACCTCTTCCAGCAGCGTCTGCAGAGTGTATCCCTTCTTGTCGGCGAGTTCGATCGAAGCTGTGCGCCAGTATATCGCCAGTCCTGTCGCCCCGTCACTCGCTCTGAAGCAAGCGCCTAACGAACGAACAAACGACGACGACATTAGAGAGGTCAAAGGTCGAGAGGTCAAATATTCGAAGGTCATAGGTCGAGAGGTCAATAGATCGATGGGTGAACACACTCTGATACCACATTATGATACTACATACTACATATATGATACTACATACTACATACTACATATATGATACTACATACTACATCTATGATACTACATACTACATGCATGATACTACATACT